ATTAAAGCCAAAGGCCCCCAACTTGAACGCACCAAGGCGACTATAAAAAATCGACAACAACCGCCGAACGACGACGGCAGCCTCTCAAGTCGCCAGTCGAGGGGTAAAAAAAAAACAAGTGCCCATAAAATATAATAAAAGGAAGTGCTTAAAACTTGCACCAACAACTGAAAGGGGAAGGTAGGAAAGAGGAGAAGGGGTTAGTACTGCAAGTACATTGGCTTAGATGAGGCTGGCATCTTGAGGGGGCAGTAGGAAGGGGTGGGGGATTTTCTTAGCCATGGCAGGACAGGACTCCTTTTGCATAGTTGGTGTCTAAATTTATTACCCGCGATCTAACACGATTTCTCGCACTTGTACCTACAATAATCATTATATGCAAACACACAAACACTCACACATAAACACAAACACACACATACGTGGTGCAGCATGGGCCAAAAGAAAATTACATGCGCCAAAGCTTTTTGCATATTTGGCATGCAACAAAAACAAAACTGAAAACGTAACAAGTGCAGCGGCCCAGCTTGGGAAACTGGTCTGGTCTTCCACGGAATGAGATTCCCGAACAGGTACAGTACAGCTTCGTTGAGTTGAATAAGCTAGAGGCGTGAAGACTAATGATTTACCCTGTTAATTGCTTAATAAATATTAATATTTCAGTTAAATCCAAATCCTTTCGAATACTTAAATATTTTAAAACAGAAAAATATTTACGCATGCAAAATGTGTTGCCTATTTTTAGGCGCACAGTTCTATGAATTTAAAAATGTAGAAACTTACATAATATTATCATGTCCCATAAAAGTTAAGATAAGAATCTCATAAAGTTAGCTTCACTGTACTTGCTCTCAAGTCTTGGTATTCGTGTGTGGATATAGTTTATGTATTATATAATTCGCTGGTCGCTGCGCTGAGAGATGCCACCAGGCAAAAGGCGCAATGCCGTGGCTCTAATGAGGCGTGGTTCCAAGTGCAAATATGCAGGATATACCCTGCAAACAAGATGGGGTATGCCAGATAAGTCGAGGGGGGGAAGGAGGAGGGGTGGCGATGCCAAAGAAAACTTGATAATGAGATGCAATGAGGAGATGATTAATTGCTTGGCAGGCAGCATCCAGCGCAACGTCTTAATGCATTCAGCTGGCAAATTACAGGGTATGCCCTAGTGCCTAAACCCTGCTAATCACTAGTATAAAAATGCAGCCAACCAAGCCTGGACTATAAATATGTTGCTGCTGTTGCTGTTGCTGTTGCTGTTGCTATTGCTGCTACAGCTTGTGGCTAAAAGAGAATAAAAATGTATTTATATGTATATAGAGAAATTCAGGCATGAGATTACAATCGCTTGTAATAAATACCTTAAGTATCGCATATATCAGTAACCCAAGGACGTGGATCGTAAGTCAAGCCGAACATTATTATTAAGCGGAGCCACCAAGCGAAGCGGCCAACGCCGAACGAACGAAGGCGGTCTCTGGCTGACCGACTAAGCGACTGCAAGACGGACATCCGTCCCGGCCAACTTGACTTACGTGCAACAATTTAACAACTTAATTATTGCTAAACTACGACGGCAACATCAGCAGCAGCAACAACGACAGCATCAGTGGAAGCAACAGCAGCAGCAGCACCACCACCAGCATCTAGCCATAAATAAACAACGGTGCGTATGAGTAATATTGGATGTTCGATACGGGGAAAAGTCGTGGTTGGCTGGCAAAAATAAAAGTAATAATAAGGCTGTTGGCTGCCAAAAAGATGGCAAGGTGCGATATACCCGAAAGATGATCATCATTGGCCGAAACGGCAACAACAACCACTCCAGGCTACTTGAGCCAATTGGACCACACAGAGAGAAAATAATTAACTTAAGTTCATAAATTCGGAAACGCCTCAGGCTTTTGGGTTAAGCTGAAAATTTATAAAAAGAAATATTTAATTAAAACAAGTTTGAAACGCGAATTTATGTTATGTTTCTATATGCATAATTTTAGGTAATAATTTGTAATTTCGTTTTCATAAAGTATAAACTATTTATGCCAGTGCACTGTGGGTTCTTCTTTTTGGAGAGTTGTGCATCCTCAATCCTCCCCAGCTCCCGCTGCTACTGCCTCTTGCTTGTCATTGAGTAATCTATCGACAGGTTGGCCATTTAGTTCGGCCCCAACGTTGTGTGTGAGAATTAGCATAAAAACGCAATTTTTGAATATTAATGTGCATTGGGGCAGCGACATCTTCCCTCGATTGCGTGCAGAGGATGGAGTCGGTTCCTGCCACTTGGCTTACACACACTCTTGGCCTGCAATACTCTGGCTCTAATCAGATTCCCCGGCGTTGATAACAACGCCTTGGGTTGCTTTTTGGCCGGGAGTTTTGCACTATCGTTTGCCCGGGGCATCTCTCACTTTTCAGTCCGGCACGCAGAGCTCTAGAAGATTGGGAGCGCGGAGCATGAGAAATGTTTGTTCTGACTAATCTGGCCAATACATCGAACATTTTGCGTAATATGGGAAGCTTGACTTGGTTTTATAGAGGTTATATCAATAATATTTACAAAAGCTGAATGTGCTAGTTGAAAACGCAATTTATTAATTTCAATTCTACAAGAAGATTTACAGTTTTTTTTCTTATTTTCCTAGCATTAAGTCTTCTGACCTAACTTTTTGATGATTTTGAAATCTTTAGTACCTTTTTGGTGGTGAACTTTTAATTCTAACTATTTTAACAAAATGTTTTTTTCATTTAATTTTTCTAAATTTTTAAACTGTTTAAGTTACCACAAATTGTTCTTATTAATAATTTTACCAAAATTTATCTACATAACCATTTTATTCTACACTACGTAGGCTAGCGCCTCTAGTGGACGTTTTGCCAAGCGCAACTGTTTTTAGAGTATTCCGTTAGAGGGCGCCAGCTTTTTATTAAAAGTAAATGCCGTTCAACTTTGCAACTGTAAACTATGCTGAGCTACTATTTTGTTATTGTTTCAAATTCCAGAAAATAATACTATGAGAACTATATATAAAATCATAACACTGTCACAAAATCTTCTTCGACTAGCAACAGTAGGAACTGCTCATAGGTGCAAACTTAAATTCTTTAAAAATAGACACAATTAAGAACTGAATAGCTTTATCTTGCCCACCGCTGAGTAAGCCTCTGCCATTCAATAGAAATTCCGAGAAAATAAATCATAACAATGTTATAGACATAAACAATGAAGTTCAACAAACCCAGACCCATACAAAACGAGTTTCGAGAAGTGCATATGTGAGCATTTGCTGGTAACTCACTCTTAACCGCATTTCACAATTGAAGGGCGAGACGACGTCATGACCCCAAAAAGGGGAAAAGTATGAAGCAGTAAGAGAGGCAAGAGGAAGTGCATTGACATTGACTTGGGTCAATTCAAAAAGTGGGTCACCATCACGACCGACACTTTCACAACGATTGCGTTAAATTGCAGCGACATTGAGAGAGCAATAAACCTCACATTGGCACCCCATTTTGCCCATTCCCCCTTGATTTAGCTCAAGTTCAAGCGGCCACAATGATGACGTATTAAACGAGAATAGTTGCGAAAATCCAGAGAGCTGAGTGCAGTGATTCACTGATCGAGAGTGTCAGTCTGTGAAATGTGTTTGCAGTCACGAACGCCGGCAAACTGGTGGGGCAACTTCTCTCTGGGGATCTCCTTCCGCTTATATTTTACTCTATAGATTCTTTATGGGGTTTCTCTCTGAAATTCTCTTTTCATATTGCAAGTCCAAAAGACCAGGCGATGACGTCTTCAAAGTAATTAGCGAAAATCGGCCTTAATCCAGGTTAACATGTGTGAAATACTTACCTTACACTTGAAAAAATGTTTTCAATACTAATAAATAATACAAAATTTATAAATAATTATAAAAATAATAATATAATAATATTTAATGGTTAATTGGGAGATTTTCTGTTACTAATAACAGATTATAAGATTTTTTTTAACATGCTAATGAGAAACCAGGTTAATCTCCCACTTATATAGCACCAGCTACTTACAGTACAGGGTATTTTCTTAGCTGACCTAATCCCTCGGGACCATCTGTTAGCCAATTTAACTGCAGCAGCCAGCGCTGCAGCCGTACGACTGGGCAGTTGGCCAAAATTAGCCTTACACACATACATACATACATTTATACCTAATAATAATTGGAAAATATATGTGATCTTGGGCACGTGTCGGCTGAAAAGATCCTCAGCTGGCTGTCACGAGGCTAAAACAAACAACCACCTTCTCAGGAAAATGGAACAAGCTCAGAATTTAAGATCAAAAAGTAATTTATGCCGCAGGGGAATTGTAAATGAGGAATTATCCAACAACTCCACTTCCACTCCCTACCCTATCCACAATTGCAAATCCCGGAAAATAACCCGAAAACGTGTCGGCTATAAATAGAGGAAAAATGTAAGGAAAACCAGCAAAGGTCACCTTGACTAACTTGGCCGAATGGAGCCAAAAAACTCTGGAGAGAGCAACACCAACAAACACAGGCGGTGGATGAGCGAGAGAGAGCAACGCTCGCTCACTTTCACAACGCCTCAGAGGCCGTTTCGTCATTCATCCTGGCGCAGCTGGCAGAGAGGGCCAAAACAGCTGCCTACACTTGGAGAAAATTTATGGATATGGAATTATAATACTTACTAAAAATAAGTTAAGATAGAAATTTTTTAGATGTTGTGAAAAAAACCTTATTTTTATAAAAATATTTGTACTTTAATTTAATTTTAAATTTATTTGAAAGGCAAGACTTGTTATTTTTTGGCATTTCATATATTTTGCATTGTTATTATTTTTGAAGTTCTCAAGGACTTTCGTCCTTCGTCTTATTCTTATGCACAGACAATATGGAAGATTTTTCTCAGTGTTCTGCCAGTCAAGGAAAGAGCGAGATAGGTAGTGAGAGAAAAAGCGGCTGCGGAGGCTACAAAATCCAGCGGCGGCAGCTAAATTCCAAAGCAGTCCGCTTGAAGTGCAAACAGTTCGCAACGAACGCGCAAAGTGAACGGAACGTCGACGACCTCAACAGCCAGAGGCGCCCAAAAATAATCCAGTGTACAAAAAAGTGAATTAAAAACAAAAACCAATCCAAAAGTAAGCAAAACTAGCATGCAACACAAATATATTTTAGTGACTGTGCAGGAGATCTTAGATTTTAGTAGTCCTGACTAGTAGCATAAACTTCCTGCCTCATCAGAGTGCATTCAACTTTCAAGGGTCAAGTGCAACGGTCGTTTCCGAAAAAAACGAACCTCGCCCTTGGCCTTCCGCACTTGTAACGTTAGTGGGGTTGGGCGGAATTTCCGGGGTTTTCTGAGGGGTGAGAGGAGCGGTGACGATTGGGCGTACAATTGGCTTTCACTTTCGTTTTCATTGAGAGCATGCGCCGTGTCGTGAACAGCTGTTTGCCACTTTATTCGACGGGGTGACGTCGACACGCCGCCCAGTAAAGTGGAACAACCGCATTTGACTTTGAGAGAAGGTCATACGTAGGCCCAAATTTATGGTACATTTAAAAAGCTTGCAACAAGTGGGGGTAGGAAATATTAATATGCCACTTAAATATTAGTTAATATGTCAAAAAATATAGAAAAAAAGAAGGACAATTTTAAGATCAACTTTATTTTTCACTTATAAATCTTTAACAAAAAACAATCACCTATTTTTTAGCCATACTTATATAGCCACGAGTTCTAAATAAAAATAAACCATGATCGCTGAGCCATAAATCATTATCTAGTTTATGTATCTTTGTGACATTTTTTCTCACTTTTTTGTATCTCAAACTTGTCAGTGCGGAACTCATCGGAACTCTTGGGTTTTTCTTTTCGTACCCCACCTGAATTCTTGAGAACTCATAACTGCAGTCGTAATACAAGTTAGGAAAACACTCGTCCTCAAGCAGATTCTAATTAAAAACGTACCACATGCTTATATAAATATTTTCCCACTGATAATACTTTCAATATGCACTTATAATCGAAGGTAATCTAATCTGAACTACAAATATTGCAAACATTGGCAACAAACTCAACTTTGGCCCCCCAAACTCTTCCTATTAGCGATAAGCCTAGTTCTACGTCATGGTGATAGAATCAATATATGTTGTTTATAAGGCAGTCATATTAATCATCAGGAATTTGCAATAATTGGATTAATCAAATTGCTTTATATAGTTAACCGATAAGGTTCTTATCTCGACCAACTTTCGAGGAAGTAACTCTGACTGTTGGTCAAATCAGTAATGAAACGATTAATGCTGAATCGGAGGATTAGTTTCGTAAATTTTCGCATTGTTGCAATGATAAAACTACCATTTGGGCCTAATTAGATTTTATCTATGTGGAAAAAGAAGACCCTAATTGACTGCCAGTGTCATGTGACTCTATGAATTGCTATATAAAAGACCAGAATATATCACAAGTTAATTTTTTCGGCAATGTTGACGATTCGGTCCGGTTGCGTGTTGTGGCGATGTCGCTTTTTTCTCATTAATACGACCTTCGTGAAGGTTAAAGAACGCCAACTAAGCAGTATGTCTGTATGTGTGTGTCTGTGTGAGGAAAAGAGTTTCCCCAAAAAACTTGTGAATGTTTTAACTAAATCATAGGCACGTGATGGCACTACAAATGGGTAATCTCTTAGGGGGAAAACCTATTTTGATTTCTTACTGAATATTAATGGGTTAATTTTCCTTTCTAACTCCTTAGCAATGGCCGCCATTAAGGACAGTCTGTTGGCTCAGGTTGCCGAGGTGCTCCCCAGCTCCGGACACAAGGTCACCATTGTAGGCATCGGTCAGGTGGGCATGGCCAGCGCCTTCAGTATCCTGGCTCAGAACGTCTCCAAGGAGGTGTGCCTCATCGATGTCTGCAACGACAAGCTGCAGGGTGAGCTCATGGATCTGCAGCATGGCTCCAACTTTCTGAAGAACCCCCAGATCACGGCCAGCACCGATTTCGCCGCCTCGGCCAACTCACGTCTGTGCATCGTGACCGCTGGCGTGCGCCAAAAGGAGGGCGAGTCCCGCCTATCCCTCGTGCAACGCAACACCGACATCCTCAAGAACATCATCCCCAAGTTGGTGGAGGTAAGTTAACAAAGTTAAAGAAATATATCCTTTCTACTTATCAATTACCCATCTCATTCCACTTACAGTACAGTCCCGATACCATCTTGCTGATGGTGTCCAACCCCGTGGACATCATGACCTACGTGGCCTGGAAGCTGTCAGGTCTGCCCAAAAACCGCGTGATTGGCAGTGGCACCAACTTGGACTCGTCCCGTTTCCGTTTCCTGATGTCGCAGCGTCTTGGAGTGGCCCCCACCTCTTGCCACGGCTGGATCATTGGCGAGCACGGTGACAGCTCCGTGCCCGTCTGGTCGGGAGTGAATATTGCCGGTGTGCGTCTGCGTGAATTGAACCCAACTTTGGGCACTGGTGAGGATCCAGAGAAGTGGAACGAGCTGCACAAGCAGGTGGTGGATTCCGCCTACGAGGTGATCAAGCTAAAGGGATATACCTCCTGGGCCATTGGCCTCAGCACCGCTTCCTTGGCCTCGGCCATTTTGCGCAACACGAGCAGCGTGGCCGCCGTCTCCACCTCCGTTTTGGTAAGTTCTTAAAAGTAACTTTATAGGAAATGTTTTCTAATATTAGATTTCTTATCTTAAAGGGCGAACATGGCATCGATAAGGACGTGTTCCTGTCGCTGCCCTGCATCCTGAACGCCAACGGTGTGACCTCCGTGGTCAAGCAGATCCTGACACCCACCGAAGTGGAGCAGCTGCAGAAGTCTGCCAACATCATGTCCGATGTCCAGGCTGGTCTCAAGTTCTAGATGAAACCATCAAACTAACAAATCCATTCACAATCCAAAAAAAAGAAAAGAAAGAAAAACAAAAACACAAACAGAGCGGAATGCTAATTTTAGTCAAATTTGGAGCCGCGGGGGAGCAGATGCCAGTGAAAAGATGCCCCGGATCGGAGCATCAAGTATTTCTGACTACCAATGTTTATTTTTAGTACACCTCTCAATTTATTTATTATTTTTATGAATTAGTTTTTGTGTGCCCACACGAATAAACTGTTTAAAATTTAAGTTAAACTCGCAACGTTCTTGTTATTTTGGATTCATCTTGGGTTCTTCTTCGGATTTGATCATTATTTTATGATTTTTAACATGGATAAGCCTGCTCCCTTAAACACACACAACTCTACCATGTAAGGAACCTAATCTTAAGGCAACTCCTGAGAAATTCCAATTGGAAAGTAAATCAGAGTTAGACAACAACCGCCGCTACCTCATTAGCGTAAATTTTGAATCGTGAATCGCTTGTCACCCAAGATGAGTTCTAGTCAAATTTACAGCCCTAACTTTACTCGCAAAATAAGCAAAACGAAACCAAACTCATTTAGTCGAAATATAAATTTAAATGAATAAAGATTTAGCACCTAGTTGTCTTCGAGCACCCATCAAAACCAACTTATGAGTAAAAACTTAATCAATTAACGGAAAAATGAAGTGAATGAAATAATGGAAAGAGAAACTCTGGTAAAAATTTTCGAAAAGCAGCTAGTAGAAAAGAGAGTCTCTGTTGGCAAGTGTTTTGGTCTGATAAGACCTGGGTATAAAAGAGCCCAGCCATTCACCATGCAGAAAAGCACAGCCCAGATGACCATTGCAGTCTGCCTGATCTGCCAATCTATGGCAGTGGGGGTTAAAGATACCGTTAATATTCCTCTAAATATAGACAGTGTCCAGAAGCATAATCTATATCAGCCTAAAAGTGTGCTTCAGTTTATTATTTATTTGACAAGCGTTACCAGACAGAAACATTTCGGTTAGTCCACCGTTCAGAAGCTTTAAATTAATTAACTTCATATAATTTTTAGTAAATGTCAAGTTTATTTGCCAATTTTCCATTTCCTTTTCAATAATCATATATTAGTTGGTGTTACAATCAAGACTACTGTTGGGCCAAAGACAATGACGGATGAGCAGCGGCGGGTATATCAGCAGTTTATATTTTGTTTGGTTTCGCATGCGCTTTTGGGAGCTTTTTTGTAGAACTTTTGTAGCTTCAAGCTTTTGTAGTTAAGTTGGTACTTCTTGCATTGGGAGTGGTTTTGTTGCGGAGTTGATTTGATTTTTATTTGAATTCGGAATAAAAACTTGGAAATAGAACTGCAGCGGTTTATTTAATCTATGGCAATTAAAAACTCTTAGTTTCTTAACAACTACTGTATTCAATGTTGGCTTTATTTTTGCAAAAATACAAACTTGCTTGGCATAACAATCCATTTTCGCGATATTTTTCAAAACTTTGGTTAAAATACTGACATATATTTTCGATTTTTTTACTTTAAAATCATGAACCATTTCTTTATATTTTAATTTAAAAGCTTATGCTGTCAGTTATTTGTTTTTGTCCGCAGTTTTTATTGTTTAATTGATAATTGTTATTATTCCTTAAAAATAATATGTGATAAGGAACAATGCTAAATGTTACCCTTTAAATATCACAGTAATAATAAACACAGTAGCAATAAACTACTAAATTGGCTTGTGGTCAAACCGTGACTCCAGCTTCTTGTTGTCGGAGATTTTGCGGGGATCCCCTTTCCATGGGCTTCTACCGGGCATTAGTTTCTATTTAGTTTAAAATAGGTCATTAGATGATAACATATTATTATTTCATACTTTTAAATAGACGTAAACCTAAATTTAAAAGGATATTGTTAAGTTAATTATACTAAAAGCTAAACATATCAAAAGAATAAAAGCTTTTATGCAGATGGCGCCACTTTTAAACTTTACTTTACAGAAGTTTACATTTTTGGTAATAAATAAAAAAAATAATAAAATTAATAATAAAACAACAAACACTGTGTATATACAAATATATTTTATAATTCATTTTTATTTATTTAAGAAACGGATTTATTTAAGAAATGCCCTGTGCCAAATTACATACGAATGTACAATCTCTAATATATCGATAAGGGTTCTGACAATTTATTGATAGGTGGTTCAGTCAAAACCAATCGTGGCAACTTAATCGATATACGCTACTGATTGAATTCTTTTTGGATTAGCCCAGTCTACGGAGCGGTTGTCTTGGTAAGTGAGTATTCTGTAAATTGAAAAGAAGTGAATAAGTGAAAAAAGAAAATCAAATGAATTCAAAGAGAAGGAATGAAAAATCAAAGCTTAATTCTATGCATATTTGACTGTGTTAAAAATCTCTCCTTTTGCGATGTTTTTTGTTCTTTAGAAAAAGGTACTTCCCCGTAAATAATGTTAGATTTTGTGCTAGATTTGATTTTCTTTTCATATTGTACATATTTGCAAACGTATTTTCTTTGAAAAATCTGCTGTGAAAATAAATTAAAGCCAAATTTAAAAAAAAAACGATTGTTTTACAAGCAGTCATAAAGTTAAATTAAATTTCAAAGTTTAGTTATTTGGTACACTGCATGTTATTTTTCTTTATAAAATCATTGTAAAGCTATCAAATAAAATCAATTTCATTTAAGATTTTGTTTTGAATTACACACTATTTTAACCTTAAAAATATAACCAACACATTCATAAAGCTAGGTCCATTGCTGCGTTTTTCATTAAACTAAGAAATCTTACATCAAAAATTATTCGTTTCTCTTCAAATAATACCTTTTTGAGATTATTTTTCCACGAAATCGTATCTTCCCGGAATTTGAGCTTAGGGTCAACCCCAAATTTCAGATGGGGTTGACGGTTGGGCTCTGCGGATGCGTTTGGATTCGTTTTGTTTTGTACGACAGCCATATTTCGACTTTGCAAGCCGCATGGTTAGGGTCATTGCCTTGTTAAAAAATTAAATTTTTGATTTCAGACCCAATTTAGCAGCACTGGAGTGGAGATTTTCCTTCAGTATATTTAAATACATATGTATGTATGTATCAGCATTCCTAATTTTTTGTAAAAAACCAAATTTTTCGCTCTTCGACCTGACTACATCCCCAGGACGGAACCGCCATCATGTTTAAATTTTGGTTTTGCAGTTATAATAATAAGAACTGAATATAAACAGTTCTTATTATTTTATGGTGTCACGAATACTTTTTTGAATATAAAATTTGAGTTGGTTTTACAATTCTGTTTATAGCATTCTTTAGAAAGCAACAAATACTTTATTGACTAACTGTATGTATTTCATAATTAAGGTATTAATATATCAGCAAAATAACTAAATTAATTTTTTAATTTAAAAATAAAGTTTTAACTTAATCTAATTAATAATTTGTTTTTAGAACAAATCTTAATCTACGCAATAAAAAATCACTATATTTAATCTTTCAGACTACTATCGCGTGTGATTTAAACTCGAAACTAAAAGAAGTCAAAAATGAATTCCGTGTAAGTAAAATTCTGTTGAAATTTTGTCACTTTTCAAATGAGTCCCCGCTTTCCAGGAAGGATACAGATTATCTGAAATTTTTGGAGACTGGCGAGTTCTCTGATTGCAGCATTACGGTCGGACTCGAAACATTTAATTGCCACAAAATCATTCTGGCTAGTGTTTCAGAATATTTTTGGGAGAAGCTTCTAAAGGACCACATTTTGATTATAAATTGCGATACTCTTGTTGATCCAGACACTTTCAACAAGTTTCTTCAATATGCCTATAGCAAGGACGAAAAAGAATTTCAGAAGTATTCTAATTATAAAATAATGTGCCTATTCCAGTTTGGTCTTAAGTGTAATATGAAATCGATCATCGTCATCTGCTTGGAGCTCCTAAAAACTCGTATAAATGGTATGGAACTTGGCGATCTTTTAAGACTTTTTGCATTCTCCTATGATGTTGATAATCTGGAACTTCGAAAGGCTACGGTACAAGTAAGTCATTTTATATCGGTATTACGTTCATAAAATATGAAATTTTACAATATATTTATTTGTGTAGAATTTGAAGAAACACCTACCGGACGCCAAAAACTGTTTCGAAGCCCTACATTTCACTCCAAACGTCTTTGAACGATACATTGAGGCCACCAAGAAAGTTTTGTCGGAAGTCGAACGGTTCAAGCTGATTGACGCCTACATTTCTATGAATAGACATGAAAAATCGTCTACGATCGACGAAGTGACAAATGGATTCGATACAGCTGACGAGAGAAATGAAAATCCAAAATCCAAGAAACTAATCATTGATGATATCAGGAAGTCAAGCTATGTGCAGAAGTTACTAAACCTAATTGACTTCCAATTGATGGATGGTTCTGACTTTTATAACGTGGTCGGAAAGTCTGATCTTTTAACTGACCAGGAAAAATTTGAAAAACTGTACTTATGTTCAAATTCATCTTCGGATGGGGAAAATTAAGCGTCTCGACCAAACGACCACTAACTGAAATAGTATCGGTTGCGGACCACAGCAATTGCAGAATTATTAATTTACTCCAAAACATTAGACTTTTCCTTGATTGCTGCCAAAGGTGTTATCAGACTGCAATGTGCCTATAAAAGAAATAAAACGCAGACCTTCAGTAGAAGGATTGATGCTTGCAACTGTCGCTTGTTTTCTATCTTGACTTCTGAACTCCTTTGTGGCCGGGAATTATAATTTAGGACAAGGGCGTGGCTGGCAAGCATGTTCCTGTTGTATTTTTTATAGGCTAATTTCTGTGCCAAATTTTAAAATTATAGTTTTAAATATGAGGAGCGCTGATTTTTTCTTTACCTCAAAAGATTTATGTTTATTCTGAAAATGCTTGACAATAAGGAATAAGGGACTTTCCTTCAGAAAACATGCACATTTCTGTTCCCTCGTAGCTATTTTTAAAATTATTTTCAGGTAACAGTGACATCAATATATTTTTTAATAGCAAGAGCGTCTTGTGTTTAAGTTGCAAGTTTTAGGTTTAAGCTACTAAAAAATAAAAATTTACTTATAAACTATATTTACTGTTACCTGCAAATAAATACTAAAAAGGAAGCAAACACATTTTTTGAAGATGAGTTTTACATAACTTTGAGTCTCTTTAATTTTGACTAATACATATTTATTGTGGAAAACTATTCCATTGATCCATATATTTTCCCGTTTCTATCAAAATATTCGAGGCCTAGTATCTAGAAAATGATTTGCATAAGGGTGTAGAATGTGCTAATGCAAATTTTAGACTCGGCTTGAATTTCATTAACACAATTCGGGGAGTGCAATAGTGCAAGCACTAACTTCCCCTCCATATTCCGGTTCCCCTTCTCCGGTACTCATCCCGGCCGATGCTTGATGGCCATACATCAGGATGAAGGATGAGCACTCCAAAGGATGTATGTGCCATGTGCCAGTGCTTACATATGTATGTACACAGGTACAGGTGTGCAGAAACGTGGCCATGTATTGCAACATTAACTGGTGGCGCTGTCAAGTTGCAAGAAATTCTCTCACATTTACAAAAAAAGTGTCCCAAAGGTATTGCAAACATAGAAATGCTTAGAAATAAATTAACAATACTTGTTTTTTGAAAAAACTATATTAAATAAAAGCTTATCAAATTTTTGTTAACTATTAAACTTAATACATCATACACTGATTAATGTGTTTTTTTAATACTTAATTGCAGTTATTTCGCATTTTTGTATATTGTTCGTCTTTTTAAAGAATTTTCTTTAGGGGCAATAAGTGCTTTGAGTTGGGGCTAACAGAAATGGATATGCGTCTTCCTCCTGACTGCGAAATTGCTTTGGATGCCAAATGAACGCACTTGCATACATATTTCATTTCCTGCCCTGTCACCTGCGGTCTCACCTGCGGGCCACATTTGGCTTCAAGTCATCAAAGCCCACAATGGATGCTATGTGTTCTGTAATGTGCAATAGTAACCTTAATTACGAAATAAAAGCTAAAAAATTAAATAAAAACATAGAAGGTTGACTAGTACTCAAGCTGAAAGGTGTTTTTTAAAGTTCTTTCGAAATTTGCAATAATAGTCCTAGTCCTGAAATCCAAAAAGCGTTAAATAAAAATAATAACATTAACATTTCTTTAAATGGCGTTTACATGGCGACCCACTGCCTTAGATTTTTGTTGGGCCAGGTCACTTACGATCCACAACATCCATCCACTCCGTGTGGCACATAATGCGGAAACTGTTGCTGCTGCTGTTAGCAGCGCCGTTATAAAGTAACGGTAGCAGGCAATATAGTGGCCAGTGTGCAGGCAGCTCCGCGTGGCAACGGTATTCGAATCGGGTAACGGTAAACCTTCAATCTAACGGAAAATGTGACGAAATATTGGCGGGATTGCGCGTTCTATAATTTCATTATTTAAGTTATATATATTTTAACGATATAAATAACTTTAGAAGCTGTGACGCGACTTTAACTTTAACTTTATTAGGTACACTGCAATTTAAATATAATTTTTTGAATTATCTGTAAAAACTGTAGTACTAATTTATACAATTAATGAGAAAGTTAAGAAACTTTTGGTATTTGAAAAACCTTTAAGCTTATGATTTTCTAAAGTACTATCATTTTTATAAGTTCTATTTAGTATCAATGTATTACCAATTAAATTTAATAACTGATAACAAATTACTAATTCTTGTTTTAACTTATCAAAGGATAAAATGTAGTAAATTTAGTAGATCGCGAAAATGTTTTAATAATTCAGTTCAGTAAAGTGGTTATAATAGTTAATAGACTGTGTAACTCGGATACCTTAAGGGTATTGTGGAATTCATAATATGAACGTTTAAAAGGTTCACCCAAAAATGTCGTCCGGGGAGTGGGATCTGCGAGCGCTGAAGGCGCTTGAGGAAGAGGAGCAGCGCGAGTTTCTGGCCCTCAGCCAGAAGAATCTATTTGATCCTCTGCCAAATCCCACTTCCGATGCAGTCAGTGCGAAATCTTCGCTCACCTACGCTCAGTTGCATCCTCATCTTCTGAAGCTGCCGACGATTGACGAGTGCCAGCTGATGGCCGTCAAACAGCAAAGATCAGCGGCCCTGCGATTCAGTCGTGCCCTCTCCTTGTCCGCCCACTCACTTTCATCTCGGACTGGAAGCGGTACGGCGGCGGGAAACGGAAGTGGCTTTGGCTTCGGCAGAAAGTTGAAGGCACGCTTGGTAGGCGCCAAGTCTAGTGGTTCGCTGTCACCCGGCCGCCATTCGCACAGCTACAGTGTTTCTCCGGTATATACACCGCCGCCCATGAGAAGATGTGCCACACTGCATCATACGCAACCAGTACGAAAGGCGTTCAAAAATCTGCAACAGCTTCAGGAGAGAAAACGCCAGGTGGCCGGAAATCACATGCAAAGGATTGCCGGCACTGGCAAAACGTATTGGAAGTATGGAGCAAATTCCACAGCTGCTTCGATAGTGGGACAGCGGGCCCGTCAAACTCAACAGATGGAGGTTGAGGAATCAAACGGTTCGGATGAGATGAATTCAGAACCACAGGAGATATCAGAGGCGGAAACGGGCTCCTGTAGTGTACCGTTGCCCTCGAAGGACACGAATGAAATTCTCCGTTTGATGCTTAGTGCGGCCAGTTCGGCGGTCACCGTGACACCAACGGCGGCAGCAATTGGTAACTGTAATGTGACCGGAGCAACTGGTGGCGCCCTGCAAATGCGACGCTACCAGAATGTCAGCGATGTTGAGGAGGACGAAACTGTTGCTTACGAAGCTTTCCATCAGGCGGCCAAAAGCTTTGAGCGCGGCGCTCTCTTGCGTGTTGGAGGTTTAACAGCGCAAGAGAGCGATAACGGTAAAGCTAATACCATTAGTCCCCAGAGTAGTCCCGCCAGAGAAATGCAATCCACAACGGCTAATGTTACGAGTGGCAGGCGAATGTTTAAGTCCTCATCATTGGATTGGCCAGGGGAATCACAGCAGCAGCAGCCTCATCAGGCCGCAAATCACATGGAAATGGTGGAAGAGCATTCAAAGGATTCTCGCCTGCGGCAACGTGATCACTGGGATCTAGAGCACGTCCATTTCCATCACGAGGTTCTTGGACGCCTCACAACCGGCGCCACCGTCATCGATGACGAACTGGAGCAGCATATCAAACACTGTTCCTGCTCCTGCAATCACATGGGCTACGGCAACTCAATGGACTATCAGGTGAGTTATCCAAATTGATGTATTATTTTGGTATTAATAGATTAAATAAGTAAATGGAACTTGATGTGTTTTTATATAGAATCTAGAATCCTAATTTCTTTTCGGTGTATCCACTTGAAAACCATGCCCAATCCCCCGCTAAGCGCACTCTTCCACAAATGATTCTGCCGTGTAATTTTAATTGCAGCAACTATTTCTGCAGTGCTGGTGTCCGGCCATTCAGGTGAATGGCGGCACATTCAGTGGGCCTTGCCTTTCATTTTCTAATGCACTCTGTTAGAGATTCCAGCACACGCGTATTACCCAAACTCATTATCACCCTGGCCTTTTGTGGGCATACCGGGTTTTACGCCTGGATTGGTTCTGGCAGATTGCCGCCTGGAGATCGGCCCGGGGGCACTGACTCTGCCAAGTGCTCCATTGTCTGACTGTGAGTGGCCCGCAGGATGGGATAACTTTTAAACTAAATTGAATACCCCTTTGAGTTCAACAATAAGCGAGATGGCCGTTCTTGCCGGGATTAAGCGTGGCTCTCTCGCCTCCCCACATCGTTATTGTCTGTAATTGTTAAGATGATTTTAGGTTTAATAGCTGCCATTTGAAAATAGTGCAGGAGTTGGCTGACCGACCCACGCAAACTCAAGACTTTATCTTTTGTTTTACTATGGCGAGGGCAATGCTGCACTCTGTGGCCCTTGGGGTTGTGTGACTTTTATTATGCAACACCCAGAAACAAACTGCCTGGGAAGCTGTTCAAATCATGACAGGAGTGTGGAATGAGCAAATATTTTACTAGTAAATATTGCACGAAGCAACCAGGATCTGAATCTGAAAATTTTGTACGCCACTAAATAATCATGTTTTTAAAACACGAATTTGATTCCTTCTGGGTATTTGGTGGTGTTTAATTAGATAATACATATGTTTTTAGTTGAGATAAATTTGGCTTTCCATTTAACATAAAACTTTCTGTTATTTAAGCATTTTTGTAACTCCCTCCCAAATAAAATTCTCTCCAAATGTGTACATCGATTACGTCTTTATAGGAGAGTGTTTTACAGCATATATATAATTCTACATTGTGTGCGATTGCGATTTGACGTGCTTTACTAATAACTTTACTAACATAGGGAGATTACATCTAATTCGATCGAACATTCCATGGGGTCATGCGTCTAAAGGCTGGGGGTTTATCCGTGCTATCCGATCACTGCAGCGTGCTCTGGGGCGGAGTGAGAGGTGTCCAGGTGTCGGCACTTACGCCCGGGGTACCATTTACCACAGCAGTGGGCACTGAGACCACTGCAGCTCCACCGGTAACAGTGCTCCGGTCCACAGAGTGCTCCAGAGATGAGGACTCGATCTTTATGCCATCGTGAGAGCTCTTAAGGGAGGAACTGGCACACTCCAGAGTAATGACCGAGCCCTGCTCGTCGCTTGGCTTGTACATGGCGGCCTGTGGATCGTCCAGCGACTTCGATACTTCCACAGGTTCCAACGGATGAGTGGTATAGCTGCAAGGCGGGTGGCGGGAAATCATTGATAGCTACGTTAGCGGTAAGAGCGCACAGTTCCCCACCGATTCAACCTACCCGATCTCCAGTGGAATGTACTCCGGCTGATAGTAAGCAGCGGCCGCGTTCTGGTATAGTCCATACTCTGCCCCAGATCCGTTATGCCAACCACTGGCGGGATAACTCAGGGCCGAGGGCGCATTTAGAACAGCATTTGTGTACAGCTGGTGAGTGGGCGAGGTGGGCGTTGGATGGTACACCTGGTGAGCAGCTGCTCCGTATGCAGCTTGAGGGGATCCCGATGTTCCGGCCCCGCCCCCAACAGCCACTCCGGTTCCGTAGATGTCTGTTTGTGCCATGTTGTACTGGTGACTGTGCGGCGTCAGGTGGTGGATGGTGTAGCTGGGCGAGGAAGTCGTATAGCTCGGGGATCCGTTCGTGGGCGACGGCGAGTTGTGGGAGGCTGAAAGTGGACAACGAAATGTGTCAATGGGAAGTCGTTTCTCTAGTTTGGGAAGGAACTGAATGATTTTAATTTAAATCTAAGACTTCCAAGCTACTTTCTAATTATATTTCTGTTATTTAAGTTAAAAGGTCACGTAACTTGTTCCCGAAAGTACTTTATCTTTGGCAAGCCTTCCGGCAGAATCTTCAATTTAGGTTTCTTTAGGTAACTCACAGATATTGCGGCCACTGCACACGTTCATGGGCATTGGACCCGGTACACTGGTGGCGTTCCAGTAATTGCCGTTGCTCTGCCAGCTGCTTGGATACGAGAATACGGAGGCCGTGGGACTGGCTTCGACCGGCATAAAACCGGACTGGGCATAGGAACTGCTGAAGCATCCGGCACTTGCTGCTGCTCCGATACCGCCGGTACTAGAGCTGCTTACACTGGTGCTAACGGATCCAGTAGACGAGGAGTGCAGGCTGGTCGGTGTCTGCGGGGCCGACGGAGGTTGGGGCGACGTGGATGAAGCATTGCCGGCACTTCCATTTGATCCTGATCCGGATACTACCCTGGGCCGACTGTACGGTGTTGTGCGAGTGGACGCGGCACTGCGTCCGGATAGGGATCTTCCGTAGCGATCGCATGTGACGCCTGTGGAGGAACCCACAGATCCAGCTGACGAAACACTGGGACAGGAAGCCACCAATCCGTGACTCTGGGCGATAGACAGCGGTGGAGCAGCCACAGCAGCAGCTGCAGCCGTGTAATGTGTGGGCGGAGGGATCAGCCAGCCGTAATGGGTGTCGTGTGGATATAGCGTATCCGGTCGCTCTTTGGCATCGAGAAAGGCCTTTGCAAATGGATTATACTTGATTTTCAGCGAGGTCACCTCTTCGTTTTGATAGGCCGTCACTGCAATAAACTGGGTTTCCGGAAATGGATATGTAACCACATGTCGCTGCTCGGAGCCCACACGAACTAAATGGACACGTGGCTCATACTTGTGCAAGGAGTTTAGCATTATCTGGAAGAGATTTGACAGCTGTTATCACAGTTCTTATGATTAGGTTTAGAATTTTCTCACCTGTCCATTGCCATTGGTCTTATTGGTTAGCTTTACTTTGGCGAACGAGATGGGCTCCTTCATCCAGTGGGCCCCAAAATTGGGAGACTCGGGATGTACGTAGATGGGGTTTGACGGGGGAACCTCCGCTTTGCCACCAGGAACCTGGAAAATAGTTATCAACTTTCATTTAGATATATAATGACTCTTTAATTTGTATTTGTATTTACTGATCTATCAACATTCTAAGCAATTATTGTGGTTCGTATGACTAAGATCGGTTAATAGACTTACCCATTCACCGTTGACGTACTTCCAGCGATGTGAATCGATTTGTACGAACTCCAGGAGGACGGTGTACATGGCGGCGGGATCCAGGCCCGAGGCACTGATCTTCACAACGGGGAACATGCGCCTGTTTGTGACAACGGAGATCGTAATTAGCAATTATAACAGTTATATAACAGTCGTTATGCATTCGTAATAGTGGGCAAACAGTGAGCGCAAATGGTCAACTGCCACGAATCGTTTTCGTTTGCCTTTGGCCCAGACCTAAACCAAAAGCCCTCATTTCCTTCTCCTAATGCCAAACTCAAATCTCGAGATGGATAAGGTGAAGAGAAGAGGATCCGGATTGCGTTGCGGACAAATATTGGAACGCTCATGCGGGCTCTGTTCCACAACAATTAGTACAAGATGGCGGCTGTTGCCGGGCCACGCTAATTAGCACCTGACCAGGCCACCAGACCCGACTCTCGGCCCGGTTCCAAGTTCTAAGCCAGCGTTTCGCACACACACACACATACACACTCCCCGTACATATGCCCGTAAATTGGTAAATATTTTTAGTTATTTCAACAAATGCTGCCATGTAAATAAACACACGTATAGACGTTGTTCTACACTCGGAAAAATGCATTTAACCGGACTAAACTCATTCATGGTTAATATAAGGGATAAAAGGCTACATTTCATACTGATTTTAAGATAGTAAAAGTGTATAGACATAGCAAAAACAAAGGAAAACTATATATAGAAGTAGTCTATATGTATATATTACTATTTAAAGTCAAAAATGAAAGTCGCCATCTTATATTCGCTATTCCTTTCCAAACTACAATCTACTAGTCGTTCTTTTGTTTGAGTGTAACGTTTTAGCCTGAGCTGGAGAAACGTTAACTTTTCATTATGACTTGCAAACGGGGAGCAGTAAGATGAAAACCATGGAAACCCAATGCAACAAAAATAAAAGCGCAAAAACTCATTGCCAATTTGCATAGGAAAACAAAATGCGCCGCCATCGCCATTTAACACATTCAAATGTTTTTTTTTTTTCGTATAGCCCTCGGAAAAATTTGACTCACTCACCTGCCGTTCTTGGTGACGATCATCTCGTTGGTGAGATTCTGGAATCGCAGCCAAAGTTCTCGATCGTCCAATGAGATGCGCAGATTACGATCCAGTTCGTTGGGACTGCCTGCTCCGCCGACCACTCGATGGCCACCATTACCAGATATGCTAGCACCGCCCGTTGTCACCGCCACCACGCCTCCCAATCCATGACCATGTCCATTGTGGGTCACATGCTGCGGTGAACCACTGCCACCAGTGCCACCACCTCCTCCCGACACATTGCCACTGAGTCCGGTTGTTGGATCCACGGCGGACAAGATGTGCGATGTGGTCATGTCAGCTGCAATGCACAGAAAGAATATTTAATCAGCTTCAGCTTTCAGGTTCAGACCTAAATAGTTTATTTTTAAAAATAGGAATTTTAATTTTTAAACTAACTAAATGTACTTTAAGTTACCGATTCCGGAAAAGATTATTTCCTCGTTAGGATTTCCATCAAGAAAACTCTTAAGCTAAACGCATCATAAAAAACCTTTTAGAGATCAATCAATCGTTTTTTAAACTTTTTGCTAAACTTAAAATAATATAGAAATTATTATTTTAGACAATAAACTTTCATTAAAATCTCAGACTAGTTCTTCCTTAGATGGAATCAATCTATATTTTTGATTTAAAATTAAAAGAAACATGATTTTCCTTATAATTTTAAAAGAAATTTGTAGTCGTGGTCAGTGTGCATGGGCATTACATTAAAGCAATCTCACCCGCCTGGCCGAAGAAGTGTCGGCTTTATGCGTTTACAGCACTGTCCCAGGAGCATTAGAAGAATGCTCGTCCAGCTCTCTTGTCGGCTTTTAATTATATTGCACACTTTAGCCATGCCTGGGATTTTGTCTGCGAGTGGGTCTGGCTGGGATTGGGATTGGGATTGTGCTGTGAGTCTGTGGGTCTGAGAGTATGAGTCGACTGAGATGCTGGCTGGCCATAAACAACGGGCACCCTTTTTATTTATGGCCGCGGCAACAAACACCTCTGTTTTGAGTCCGTAGCCCGACCAGGGTCATTTGTACGGTTGCGATGCCTAAAAATCCCGTCAGATGTGCGCCGGTTCGGGTGATGTCTAAATTCTGGTCCCCACTACCACCGAAAGTGTTTCTCGCAATGTTTTGTAATCATAAATTAACAAAATGTATTAATTGTTTTGTTTGTTTTTATTGGGCCACGAATTGGAGGCCAAATGCCGCCCGTCTAGGATATATTTATGGGAAACGAACCCAAATACCTTTACAATAATTGCTCTTTCTTCTGGGCTCTAGATTTGATTTATTGGAAATGTCTTCGTCCATCTTCCATCATAAAATGGCAATAACCGAATGCGGTTTGATGTCTTTCGTATTTGTCAACCATTTAATTTGATGGTGTCAAGCGAACAGGTTTCCCTTGGGTTCTAGGTGAGACCCACATAAAATCAGTTCTATAATCAATCAGCCGATATATGTATGGTCCTCTCTGATGTCTTTTAAAGATTTAAAAGCAAATCAATCAAGGAAGAGGCTGTATTGCCTGAAATATTGTATACAATTTGGCTAGAAGGAGTTAAATATAGATTAAATAATAACTTAATACAAGTTAATAAAAACTCACTACAACTTATTACCCTTATTTCCGTTTGCTTTTATCTAAAAAAAAAACCACCAGTCTACAACAAATTAAAAGTTTTAAACTGATTTCAATCTGTTGAGTTTAAAAGTTTAACCACTTAAGTCCGTCATCGGAAATTTATATTCATTTTATGGATTTTCAAAGGTTTCCGTTTTCCCAGCTCGTGTTCGCGCCGAATTATCCTAATTTTCACGCGACTCTTGGCGGGTGTTTTTCTCATGTGCCCAATAGACGACATCATAAAAATTCACTCTTCATGACGTTGCCGGTCCCGGTGCTGGTGATGGTGGCGATGCTTGTTCCTCACATGGCTCATGGCCGTGTTTGTGTTCCACATCGATCCGCACCATCACACCACTCTAACCTCCAGTCTCGATGCTTTGGTGGTGTCCCAGCTTCGGCTCCATCACTAAGCTTAATGAAAAGCTGTTTTTGTATGTTGTCTCCTCAGTCGAGGAAGCGTGTGTGACTGTTTGCCCATGTGTATATAGTATATACTTTGACTTTTGATGGCAGCCATGACGGGTTTCGGTTTGGCGTTTGCATTGGACTCTTTCCCCATCCGCCTTCTTGTTGTTGTCTTTGTTGATTTTTGAATCATTTCGTGACTTTGATATTTACTCAGACGCTTTGAGTGGTATTTTTTTCATTTTTTTCGTATGAAATATGCGCGCTATTCGAATTCGAACCGAACCTTTTGTAATACGGCGCTTACGTACTCAAAAATAAGTACAAGTTCATATGTATAACTGTACATACGCCCTAACGTACTAATGGTCGTCAATGAAAGCCCGTTTGGCAAATCTTAGATACATTTGATTTTATTCGATTTTAAGTTTTAGATGAAGGAGTGTCCTCATTGCTCACAAAGATGACTATTTAAAAATGTTTAAATCACTGAACAGCCATGGTGGATATTTAAGACTATAAAAAAACAATTATAATAATAATGAGGAAAGAGGTTGGCATCCCTATCATTTGAGCTTGGGTGTGCCCAGATGAGTTGACAAAAAGAATACTGGCGCGGGGAAATGAGTAGTTTTTATTCCAAGAGTTAAATGAGGATCGAGGAAGCGAAAAGCTTCGCGAGCAACCGCAACCAACTAAAAATAATAAAGTCAAGACTTATTAAACTAGAAAAACCAATCTCACAATAATTAACCGTGTATTTGTTGCATTTAATTATGACAGCTTTACTTTAATTGGATGCACAGCCAATTGACCATTTATTTAATTTATTCACATTTTAGTGAATTTTAAAGGTCTTTTTTATGATACCATAAAAATATATATGTACATATGAATGTATATATAACAAGCAAAGAGGTTGATTCACACTGAGTACATTGTTAAACTGTTAAACTAATAGCTTGTAGTTATGCTTTTAATTCTAATCGATTATTTATTTAATAAACATTTCATTTGTAAGCAGTAAAAGTAATTGCCACACTTACTGCAAACCAACTTGGTTTTTTTATATTTATATTTAATCGGTTTCCTGTTTATTCTTTTATTATTATCAAGCTAAAAAAATCGTACACGTGTAATATTATTTTTATTTATTTATTTGCCATACCATCGATTTATCTACTCCGTTCGCACTTTGCTCAACAGGACTATATTTCGCACCTGCTCAGGATGCTGGCGGGTGGCATCGATGACAAGTTACTGGTAGCCCATCGGAGGCGATTAAACCAAATTTGCTAAATTTCACACACCACTTCGCATGAAAATAAACCGAATTTAAATTTAGATACTGCGGGGGCGAACAGAACTCGAAACTCGGACCAAAACGGAAAGCCAAGGGAAAAGCAATTGTATTGCTTCCGGAGGACAATGTCAAAGGTTAAGGTTTTTGGGGAAAGATGGAAGTGGATTGATTTTCCGGCAAGTGTTTTTTTCCTTTTCTGTGTTTTTGTGGGGGCATTGAATGGGCGTGCCTTTATACGGCGATTGTCACACTTTTGTTTTCTGCACTCCACGGCACACTGATAGGCGCACTTTATGAGCGGCGTACTAAAATTTTGTACAAACTGTAATTAATTAGTAAGCATTTGTCAAGTACTAAACGATTTGCGGGGGCGGGTGTGGTATTTCCTTCTGGTCTGTTTATGGGCATCTTTGATTTGCATTTAATAGGATAATTTTCACATGCGTCGTAATTGGCCGGCTGGGATTGATCTAACTTGCTGTGAGTTTTTGGCAATCCATGTCTAAAGTCTGCGTTGAAATTCTTATGTCCCCACTAATTTGCGTGTGAACATCTGCCACGCCCACGGCTAGAAAGATATAGCTTATCCCGCCCCGGTTCGGCTGCTGTTTTATGTCATTAGAGGTATTATTAGGATCGTTAATAGGGGATTTTGTCACTTGCCCGCTGTATTTCGGGCGGCTCGTCAACACACACTTCTTTTTTTTTTTGGCCAAGTGTCAAAAAGTGTCTGTTTGGTGGTTTCTGTTTGGTTTCGGCATTTGATTTTCACACGTTCGTTTAAATAGGTTTGCCAATTTGCTATTTGATTACGTTTATGGTCATATGTCGTACAGATAAATAAACACACTGACATTTTATGATCTCCCAGCTCTGGATTCCGCGAAGCTATATAAGACTATGGGGTATTAGGCATTTCTTGGGCGCCATCTATTTTTTGGGGTCAAAGTTTGAGATTTCCGAATTGTCATGGGAATAAGATTAGACTTTTATTTATTGCTTTTTGAAATATTTTGAAATCAGTTTTTCGTATACTTTCAAAATAAGTATCAATATCAAATCATAAATATTCTCAAAAAATGTCTTACAAATTTCGACATTTTGAAAATATATTTGCCGTCGGGCTGAAATGGCTTTCAAATTTATAAAATATTTTAACAAGTTTATGTTTAACGATATTTTACTTAATAACAGGCAGATTAGCAAAATAATTTATTCAGCATAAGAAATATTAAAATCAACAAATCAAACAATCAGCAAAGGGTTTAAATTCACTTCTTAAAAATTCGTAATTATGGTTTGATTTTGAATGATTTTTTCTTTTTCCCTTTAATGAAATTTCAACATATAATTTCTTATCAAATATGATAAATTTATCAAGGAAACTTCTCAACGAACTTACATATTTGAAAAACTGATCCGCGCCGTAATTCGGCGTTCTCGATATAATCCAGTGGAAAAACTCCGTTTACAGATGAGTCAGTATTGAATTTGAAGTTTAATTTGGAATAAACCCAAATCACGAACTTGGATAACACTTAAGGCTCACTTAAATTAGGATCACGTTGAGGATTTCTATTGAATGGATCAGATGATGGAAGATAGATACAGCCGCGAACCGCGTGCCTGATTTTTCAGGTTTTCAAGATATTCGATTCGAGGCGAGTTTCGAGTTTCGAGCTGTGCGCTGCCGACGATCGTGTGTTGTTTGCGTTGCCACCGTTCCCGAGCTAATGATCAACGATCGGTGCTAATTTTTTCAACCATCACAAGCCGCGCTTTGGGTTCCTCTATTTTTCTCATGCCTCGTCTTTGGCCGACATCGCCGTTGTTGTTCTTGTTGTTATTTTGGGACGTGATGGCCGGCTAGAGCAACTCTTTCCACTGCTCGCTCCTATAGCTATCCCGTTCTGACCCGATCGGTGATCGGTTAGCTTGGTTGGTATAGGCCACACCCTCTAACAGGTACGACAACGGCCGAGTTATCTTAGCTCTCGCTTGCTCATGTGGCTGGTCAATCTGCGGCCATCGCTTGGGGGAACAGCCGGCAACAGGTAAAGGCCCTGGCCGGGATCTCTCTCAGGTGGGTCGGATCGGTCAGGGCGAGCAGAACTCTCTGAATGGGAGTCCTAGGCGGGCAGTATACGGCCCCTGCTGTAACCCCCGTGAATAATCGTTCAATTTTGCATGCGCCAAAAATTAAGTGAAACGTGTTTCGATTGCTTAAAATTATTGCACTGGGAAAAAGTATGGGGACTTTGCCTTAAAGTTGCTGATGGTCATTTGAATATTTTGAAGATTTGTTTTTGGTTTTAAATTATGCTTATACAATGTCAGCATATTTATATTAATTCCTGAGAAATTTTAAAAGTTTTCTTGCCAATATATAAAAAGGTTAACTCTAAGAAGTAATATAAAAATTATAAAATTTTTTTATTAATTAATTTACTCTTTAGTCATATGATATTAGATAAATGTAAATATACAACTTTTATGTATTTTTTTCCGTGTAGATAAAGTCGAGGTTTGCTGTCCGATGGTCCGTGTCCGTGTCCGTTGTCCGTTGTCCGCCGCAGACTGGCTTTGATTTGTTTAGACGCTCGTTTCATGTTTGTTTGCGCAACCAATTAAAACTTTGTATTTTTTTTCATGGGGTCTGTTTGCAGTCCAAAACGGGTTTGTCGATCCAGCGCGCTCTTTTTTTTTTTTTTGGTAAAATTTTCAGCTGAATTTCGAGCTGTAAACATTTGACTCTGTGCGTCAATTTGTGTATGTGGCCAAAATACGAGTTGGCCCGGGGCGGAGTTGCTGGATTTTTGGGGCGGTGCGTGTCCACACTCGACTAAACCAGAATTGGCATTAAAACTAGAGCGAATTGGCCTTAAATGGCCCTTTGATGAAGTCTATCATAGACCAGAATGACTCATTAAAGGTTAAAAACTGTTTTAAAAAAGGAAAAATTTACATTTTAATTTAATTTTTCAGCTTTCTTTCCTATGCTTTAGGAACTTCTTGATGTCAATTTTTTTAAACTATATTTTGTTACCCTCTAATCAATAGTTTATTATAGAAAAATAAAAAGAACGCCGATCTAAAAATATCCATTCATTATTGCCTTCATTCGAGTGCTAATTTCAAAGAATAAAATAAAATACATCCAGCGGCTGTTAGGTTTCCCTGCTAAAATTCGAGTCATCGAAAGTTGGATTGTTTGAAATATTTTATATTGGAAGTCTCAATGTGGGAACTATTTATAGCTTTTCCGTGATTTTTTGGAGATCACGCGCCCCTTGCAATGGCTGTCTGTATAGCTGAGTGGATCTCAGGTCGCATTTTAGTCGGTTTGAAGTCATCGCCGCGTGTCAATGGACCAACTTTATCGGGGGGCTGGGAACGGTCAAAAAGTTGGGCATTCTATGGCGCTGAAAGACAAACAGCTAGCGGGCAACGATGGCCATTAGTTAAAGGTCTGCCACAGCAACAACCCGTCGGGAGTAAATGAGAAAAATCAACAGACCAGGGAACTCAATAAAATAGACACAGAGATGGAAAATGGAGGGGAGGCTAATGGAGGAATAATACACGAGAGTACGAGTAGATCTGGCTAACAGACAAGTGAATCGAATGGATCGCCATGTAGTTGTCGCACCCGTGACGGATGTCTGGCTACCTATCATAGCCTATCCTGTCCTATCTTATACCTTGGTCATTCATTAAAGGTGCCGCGGATGTTTTCATTAAGAATCCGTTGGGAGGAGTACGAGGAAATGCGGGCCAAACCTCCGCGATCCTCAACCCTTTCGAGGACGAGAGTGTCCTTGCCCTAAATATTCACCGCACGGCATTATAGCCGCTTTATGGCCAATCCTTTCTGCTTGTGTGTTTGCAAACAATTCGATTTTATGGCCGCCTAAGCGAATTTCCCCGCCTCAATTAGGCTGAGGTTGTAAACTCATAAAGTAAACACGCGAGAGTGCGAACGCCGAGCAGGCAGTCGGCGAAAAAAAAAAGAGGAAAAAAATAAGGAATACGGGGCAGGCATTCCGTTTGCACAGGATACACGCAAATGCGCATGTCCTTTGAGCGCAATTAGCCGTCGGGAAAATCCAAAAATATATAACCAAACGATATCGATCCCAGAGCGGTCGAGTTTGTGTTCGAAGTCTTTCGTTCGCCATTCTTGGCTTTCCGCCCATGGGTTCGCCCCTTTCTGGTCTGTTTGCTCGTACCCAAGCCCAAGCCCAAACCCAAACCCAAGCCCAAACCTAAACCCATACCCAAACCCAAGCCCATATCCAATCCCAATCCCAAGACCCGAAACCCAGACTCATTTACATATTGCTCGTTCTCTGCTGTTTTCGCTGCGCTTAAGTATGTTTGCCCTGCCCGATCTCTACGTGTTTGCTTTGGGCCATCTTGACCATGTCGACCAGCACGGCCTGTTTGCCCCCTGTCTACTTTTTGCTCTTCGAATGCCGCGGCAGGATTTTCGTGGAATTTTCCAACTTTAACAAGCTTCAAACTTGAAAATGGCGTGACTCGGCAAACAATAGACGAGAAAGCCAATAAAGACGACTTTAAAGTTGATTTCACTTTGAAAATCGATGGATTTTCTTTTATAATTATAATAATTATGGATCATTTTTGACATACATATATCAATAATCTGTACCAAAATATGTTATATTACTGCCCTAGTCTCATATTCATTGGATTTTCTATCCAAACTCGAATACACTTTTAATTTAACGGCGCAAAACAGGAAATAGTTGCTGGTCAAGACTACTTAAAATGAATCGCCTGTTTATCAGACGGTCGGCAAAGTCCGCAATCAGAACCCTGCTCAACCCCAGTGGGAGTCGCCTGCCCCGTGCCACCGCTGTCAGGAATTGTAGTTGCAAGGACGAGTATTCATTGACTGATCATAAGTACGATGCAATTGTGATTGGTACTGGTGGAGCCGGAATGCGGGCGGGTTTTGGCCTGGCGGAGAAGGGTTTCAAGACGGCCCTGATTTCAAAGTTGTTTCCCACCCGTTCACACACAGTGGCTGCCCAGGGTGGCATCAATGCCGCACTCTCCAATATGGACAAGGATGACTGGAAGTATCATTATTTCGATACGGTAAAGAGCAGCGATTGGTTGGGCGATCAGAATGCCATCCATTACATGTGCCGCGAGGCGGAGAAGGCCATCTATGAGTTGGACATGTATGGGATGCCATTCTCTCGAACTTCCAGTGGCAAGATCTACCAGCGTCCGTTTGGAGGCCAGACCTTGGAGTACGGAAAGGGTGGAATGGCCAGAAGGGCATGCGCTTGCGGAGATCGCACGGGTCATGCCCTCGTCCATACCCTCTACGGACAGACCCTTAAGCACGCGGATACCTGCCACTACTTTGTAGACTACTTTGTCTTGGATTTGATCATGTCGCAGGGGAAGTGTGTTGGCTGCTTGGCTTGGAAACTAGATGATGGCACCTTCCATCGGTTCTTGGCTAATAATACGGTGGTGGCCGCTGGCGGTTGTGGTCGGGTATATTTCTCCACCAGCGCCGGACATACGTGTACGGGTGATGGGAATGCATGGATTTCACGACAGGAGTTACCACTCATGGACATGGAGTTTGTGCAGTTTCATCCTACTGGCATCTATGGAGCAGGATGTATGATCACCGAAGGCGTCCGTGGAGAGGGCGGTTTCTTTGTGAATTCCAAGGGAGAACGATTCATGGAACGCTATGCCCCAAAGACCAAGGACCTGGCCACCAGAGATGTAGTGGCGCGCGCCATGACCATGGAAGTTCTTAACGGCAATGGTTGTGGTCCCCTCAAGGATCATGTACACCTGCAGCTCCATCACATAGACCCCAAGATCATTAGAGAGCGATTGCCGGGCATCATGGTCACCGCGAAGATCTTTGCCAAGGTGGATGTGACCAAGGAACCAGTGCCGGTTCTACCAACTGTACACTATATTATGGGGGGAATTCCAACGGATCATAGGGGTCGCGTCATAACCGTGGATGAAAATGGCCAAGATCAGGTGGTCAAGGGTCTGTACTCCTGCGGAGAAACCTCCTGTGCCTCGGTACACGGAGCCAACCGTTTGGGGGCCAATTCTTTGCTAGATTTGATCATCTTCGGGCGGGTTTGTGCCATAGACATTGCCGAGAACAACTGTCCGGGTGACAAGCCACCCGAGGTGGAAGACAAAGCCACGGAAAAGTCAATGGAAAACTTCAAGTGCCTACGCAACGCTAAAGGATGCATCCCAACAGCCGCTTTAAGATTGGAACTGCAGACGATCATGACCAAACATGCAGCTGTCTTCCGGGAAGGAAAACTGCTCAAGGAGGGTCTTCTTAAGGTCGCCGAACTGTGTGAGCAGTTTAAGGACATCAAGTTATCCGACCGCACTTTGGTATGGAACACTAATCTCGTGGAGACCTTGGAGCTTCAGAATACGTTAGCGAATGCCGTGCACATCATTACGGCAATGGAGAATCGAAAGGAGTCGAGGGGATCCCATGCTCGTGAGGATTTCAAGATGCGCATAGATGAACTGGACTATGGAGCACCGATGGCCGGGCAGAAAAAGAAACCATTCGAGGAGCATTGGCGCAAGCACACCATGACCTTTGCCCTGGGCAATAATGGATGCGCCTCGATCAAATATCGTGCGGTAGTGGACGAGCCCTTAGATGATTCGATAGCTAGCATTCCACCTGCTATACGTACTTACTAAATTACGGGGACTACATTTTGTCCCTACCATGGATATAATATAGGATATAATAATAATAATAATATATAATAAATCTATATAATAACTGGAACTGCAATTTTATTTCTTTATTAATTTAATTATTTTCCTAACATTTGACAATAAAAAGTTGTAAAATAAACAAGTTTGTTCGGAAAACACAGTTAGCACTAGGGTAATGAATCCCAGGACAAACAGCAGTGAGCTGGCATGAGTAAATAGAAAAATAATAATGGCTAGAAAAGCATTATACCCAAAAAGATCAGAGTCCAACAGTGTCAGGGTGCTTTTGAAAATATAGACCATCAAACGTGTCAACTTGGAAGTTGGGTGTCGCCAGAACAGCAATGGCTGTTTCCCAACCCATTCGCGCAGCTGCAAAAGATCACGAAAGGCTTTTGGGTCCTTTATAAAGCTCAGTCTACGGAATTCCCCATCGAAAACGTGATATATGGTCACATCACCTTTAACGTAAAATCGTATTGGTAACGATGAGAGCATGGAGAGATCCCGAAAAGCCAATCCAATATCGGGACAGCCCATAGAAGTGGTCGCCATCGTGGAAAGTATCATTTGCAATTCCCGGCAATTCTGCTCCAAATGCGAGCAGAGCAGGAATATCCATTCGCCGGAGAGAAGTTGCTTCCAGTTCTTCTCGGTGATCAGGGTAATGGGTTCCAATGCCCTGGGATTCCCAAACGTATACCGGGGACAATATTGCATATTCGAAGGCATTTCCAGAGGCGTGGAGTTCTTGGTGATGCGAAACGATAGCATGGCTCCAGTAATCAGTAAAAGAATAATAAATTTGGAAGTCATTTTTTATTTATTTTTTAATTTTGCCTTTTTTCGGAAAAGTTTCTAATCTTTCATGCTCGACTCAAGGACATGAATGACACTTAAAAGGAAGTAAGGTTAGTTAAGGTATTAAAACATATTTTTCGATAGAATTTATCGATAATTACAGTTGCTAGCAAAGAACACTAACGGGGCATTAGCATCAGATGGCTATCGGGGCAACTCGATTGCTGATGCTGTACTCGTACGACTGTTGCCGATGGCTGAGTGTAAATAATTACCCGCAACAGGAATAAGTTGTAGGTTATGCGAGGAAAGCTCAAAGAAGGATCTAGGGGGAGGACCTCTCCTAATGACCACAATAAATTATTTTCATTTAGGGGCATTTAGCATAGAGAAAAAGCCGAGAATGGCTGGTAAAGAAATAATTTATAGCTGTTGAAAACTTAACATGTTCATTTGGCCACATGTGTGCATGTGTGTGTGTATGTTTGTGGAAAATGGGAAATTGTTGGGGTGTATGGGTCCAATAATAATGGCGCTTGTTAAGGCTTATGAGTAAGTGTTGGTGTGTCTGTGTGGGACAGCAAATGAAAGGCCAACAGAACAGAACCACACGAATACTTTGCTGGGACATTCCACCCATAAACCCATCTACCCATCGACCTAACCACCCACTGGCCAAACACCAAGGACATGGCCCAACTATTTGGTATGTATTTCGTGTGCCAGTGTGTGGATACAATTGTTGCTATTTCATATGGTTTTGCTACTCGGCTGCTGCTGCCACCGACACAAAAATTACAGTTGCATACACATTTGCCTGTGTTAAATTGTCCCACAACCAATACAAAGTGACCTTTTCATTTATTTTTATGATTCCACCCCCCAACCCCACCCTTACGTACAACATATCCCCATTTGGAACGCCCCCTCACCACATGCTGCCCGCCCAGTCTTGGCCATAAAAAATAGTTCGCTCGATTCAACTTTCCTGCGGCAACAAATGTTGGTTACTACGGCCTAAAGAGAATTTCTGGTTACTGGATAAAATGTTTTTTTTTTCGGGGTTTTTGAATTTGTTTATTTGAGACTGGGCCTAATGGCACGGAAATCTGTGGATGGCCATGTTATATAATATCTGAGTCTGATTAAGGCTGTTCTTGATTGATGGTGACTATTCTTGTATAACTTATTCATAGGAAATTATCATATTTGGGTAACTTTATTGGCTTCTTCTGGGTTAAAAACCATAATTGGCTTCTTAAAAAAGTATTAAAAGTATTTATTCGCGTGGTTGGCAAACTAAAAACTGTCCTCACAACTTTGTTGATATCTATTCAACGCAGAACTTTCTTTTTGCTGCTCTTGGTATTGGGGGAGAAAGTTTGAAGAACTTCGTTAAAGTTCTAGCTTTAAATAGTTCAGCAGAAGCCCTATATTAAATCATAATGTGAAATTGAATGCGTTAAAAAGAGCAGGGCAATATCTCTATCTAAATAAATATTCATTTTATATTCATTTTTATTTATTTAATTTCTGGACAAAGTTTTGCCTTAAAGAAAACTAACTTTTGCGTACAATAAAATGATGAAACTTTCTGAAGGCATGTGGTTGATAATAAGAACGTGATTTTATTTATTTTCCAAATAGCTTTTCTTTATCAAAACTTGAATATTGTAGCCTGGCTAGCATATATTTATTCCTAATTTGATATTTAAAATCTATTTCATGCGACTGCCAGGGGCTATCTCTGTCTTGGTACTCCAGCGTCTTTACTTTGCTGTTCTGCTCTTTAGTCTGCCGCTCGTGTTTTGGCTTCTAGTCGCTGCTGTGGATAGCAAGTTTGCCGAAACTCTCAAAGTTCATTCTGCACTTCATCGGAAAACAAAACAAAATGTTTCAGTTTAAGCTTTAACTTCAGCTTGTGAACGAGTGCAGTGCACTTGCGCCGCAGGAAGATGGAACACGAAATTGAATGTGTACAGTAGGCACTCGAAGAAAAGTCTTAGAATTTAAGAAAAACTTCTTGATAACTAACACAATCGAGTATCAGCTTTGAAAAGCCTATCATATTTTTCACTAACTGTTTTAGGATTTACATTCCATTCATAAATATAGGATATCATGTTTCATTTTTCCAAGTGTACTGTACTACTCCCTAGCTCGTTATCAGGATTGGCATTTGAAGGATTTGCCAGGCACATGAGTAGGGGAAAATATATCTGTTCCGTGGCCCCAGGCGTTCGAATGGGCCGTCATTTATATGTTGCCTTTCGTTCCTTTGACTCAATCATCTGCTCGTTTGGAGGCAGGCAGCAGGAGCTCCATAATTTCCATTAGAATTGCCCTGGGAGAAAACCGAGTCAAAGGCAGCCACCAGTCCGAAATGCCTACGATTCCGTCCATACATTCTGACCACTTTGGCAGCCAACTATTTCGGCCATACCAAACTGCATTTCGGCCCGATCTATTCTACTGTTTTGGTTCGGTTTTTGTTTTTTGGCTAATGGTTTCTGGGCTTGGTTTTGGTTGTGGGTTAAATGTGTTTTTTCCAGCACACAAAAACATGCCCAAAAACTTTCGGCCGCATAAATTTGATTTATTAATAAATTATACACACTATACAGAAATAAAATGTATTTCCATTTCCATTTATTTACTTGCAGGTGAGTTCCGGCCAAGCGGATTGCAATAGATGCGGGGACAGGTGAGCTAGTGTACTAGAAATTTGCGGAAAATTGAATTTTCCAGTGTGTATCTGGGTACTTACATACGTTTTCCGGTAAATTGCTGGCCAAATTTAAAACGAATTGAGTGCCTGTTTTATGGAACAAATAGATGGAAAATATTTTTTTTTTTTAAATCCAGCCCAAAAGCATCACATGGAAAAATAATGTTACTTGCATGAGCAGCATGCCGCAAACTATGCTATGGCAATTGAGTTTATGCTAGTTTGCAAGGTGACGCACGTTGTGACGTCAATAATTTTGTGGGTAAAATGTAGAGTTAAACCGAAAGTCAAAGCCACAGATTAGTTTACTCAAAAAAACAGAACAGAAAATGATGAATTATATTCTTCACTACATAAATAACCATCAGTATTGCCCTAACTTATAAATGCCATATTATTCCCAGACCACAACTTAAAAGCCAAAATGAACGTCAGAAGCATGCAAGGAATTCCTGTCCTGTCGTCATATTGACTGTCAATCAAGAATTTAATGTCGATACTCGATTGAATGGTGGTGATGGGCAGCCAGTTTCCTCGGCTCAGATGTCGAACTGGCAGAATCTAGTAGCCGTATCTCTGGGGATGGAGGGGGTAGAAAATTTGAATAGGCTTTCCCATGTGCTGGTTTTCCGTGTGTCTGACAACATTTTCCTGGTGAGGAGTGGCTCGGGAAAGTGCAGATGATTGCACTCACACATCGGCCTGACACTATTGGAAATACATTGCGTTTGCCTTGCTCTCGGGAGTCAAATGAGTTTTGCATAAACAAACATTGTCGACCAGTCCCTTGCCACCTGCTGCTCGGAAAACAAGTGGCAGAGCTACAGTTGAGTGACTCGACCAGAAGTTGCTCGCTACTATGAATGCAGAACGAAAATATTCAGTGGAATGTAAGAACAGAACGAATGAATAACTTTTTGTACTCAGATTTTTATTATTAAAAATACTTTATAAGTTACAAAAATAAAAATAATATAAGATTAATTAAGCAATAAACGGGAATCATTTAAAGTCAATTCCACTTGAAAGAGCTTTAAGTTTCGTATTAAAAGTCGTTAAAATAACCACAAAAAACCCATGCAGTTAGACAAATCCTCTGAAGTGCAATAGATCCTTTATTTTAAAAGGGTATCAGGTATCCAAAGTATATTTCCCCTAGACTTCTCCGTAGAAGAATCAGCTCGACGCTCTAGCTGGGAATGCATAATTAAGGCAAACAAGAGAAATGAGCAGGCCCTCGCCGGCCATTTCAGATTATTTTTTGTTTCCCACATTGTACTTCCTGTAGCAGAGTTTGCTTCCGTTTTTCAAATTAAAATACGTTTAGCTTGGAGTGCACGTACTCATTTATCATTTTATTATGGCAAAGGCAAAGGCAGAGGCAGAGGCTGAAGGCAAAGGCGAAGGCAGAAGGACCAGTTTTTCCACTCTGCCGTTTTGTTTTCTTGCGCACTTTCGAATATTACGTGC